ATCGGAAGAAATCAAAAGGTATGAGACGCACCCAACATGTGGGGTCCCCTGACACGAGCAGCTCTAAGAAGTCTTTATAGTGCTGAGCAGACCCCCCCCACCCCGAAACACACGCACACACTTTATGCTCAGCCTCTTCGGGAAAGAGCTCTGTCTCTTGGATCAGACGGACCGGTGCTCCCAGCCTGGGCCTCTTGTGCGCTCTGTGACTGAGCTAACAGTTCAGCCTCCGTTCTTTCATTTCCTTGCCTCCACGGTGGGGAGAGTCATTCCTCAGAGCTGACAGGGGATTCATCCCAAGCACAGAGTACGGGCTCAGAAATACCAGGGGGTGCTCTCCTGGTGGACAAGGGAGTAGATTTGGGGGTCCGTGGTGCCTCGCCAGCCCCTCGCTGATGGCCGTGCTCCGCTGCTGCAGGCGTGGCGACGCGGCTGAGCCGCCGGCGGGTGTCCTGCCGGGAGCTGGGCCAGCCGGACTGCGATGGCTGGCTCCTGCTGCGCAAGGTGCCCGGCGGCTTCATGAGCCCTCGCTGGCGCCGCTGCTGGTTTGTGCTCAAGAAACACAAGCTCTACTGGTACCGCCAGCCCCAGGTGAGACCCTACACACATGCGGAAGCAGCTGAGTCACCCCAGGGCCACAGTTCTTGTTCCTACTCCCCACTGTCTACTCCCACTGTGGTCACAGGTGGGCCACAAACCCTCATGAGCCCCAGTGTTCCTGTCTCTAAAATGGGGACACTCTTCAACGAGAAATGAGCTGCTGTGTGTGTAAAAGCACCGTTCCTTCCTCTTCTGTTATTCTGTCCATCCTAGTGATAGGCTATTCATTCCATTGTTTATTCCTCAGCCAACATGCAGGCGCCTGCTGTTACTCAGCTCTGGGCTGGGCATTGAGGACACAAAGGAGACTTGGACACAGAGGAGTTCTTGCTAATCCAGGCTCAGGGCGGGGGGTGGTAATACACGCTCAAGGACAGTGCAGGGAACACACGCTGTGACAAAGGAAAAGCCCGGGGAATGGGGGTGGGAAGCCCACAGAAGTGGCCAGTCCAGCCTGAGGAGCGGCGAAGGCTTCCGGAGAAATCAGCACCTGAGGGTCAGTCGGGCGCAAAGGAGGAAGAAGCCAGAGGGAGGGCAGCCTCTGCAGGGCTCGGCGGCCCAAGGCGGCTCCGTCTGTGCCTATTGATGGAACAAATGTGGGAGCAGCCCCCTCTTCTGCGGCTGTTTGTCTAGATCTCCTTGGCTCCCCTTTCCCGGCTCAAAGGCACTCCTTGGTCACACACCCGCTCCCCCTAAATTTCTACCCTGAGCTCCTGAGACTGAGAGGTTTGTGGTTAGAGAGCCCAGGAGATGTCCCCGTGGGATGTGGCCTCAGGAAGCTGATGACCTTGAGAATGTTGGGGCTTCGTGCTGACCCTCCCTGTGATCCCCCCAGGATGAGAAGGCTGAGGGCCTCATCAATGTCTCCAACTACAGTCTGGAAAGTGGGCATGATCAGAAGAAAAAATAGTTAAGTCCTGGGTGTGACGGGCTGGGTGGTGGGAAGAGAAAGGGAGAGATAGGGTGACGGCAGGGGTCGGGTGGAGGCAGCAGGGAGCTGGGATTGCCAGTGTGGCCTCTCTGGGTCTAGATGGGCACGCCCAGGCTGAGTGAAGGCCCTCTGCTCCCTGGCAGTGTGTTCCAGCTCACCCATGACGTGTACAAACCCTTCATCTTTGCTGCTGATACCCTGGCGGATCTGAGCATGTGAGTGCCACCCTCTCCACTCCCAGACTTCCGCATGAGTGCCTGGGAGCCTAGATTTAAATCTCAGCTCTCTGACAGTGGTTGATCAAGGCACTCATTTTTCTAGGCCTCAGTTTCATTATCTATAAAATGGACTAATAAGAGTTCCTGCCTCTCAGAGTTGCTCTGAAGATTAGATTAGACAATCATATAGGGCAGTGATTCTCAACCTTCCTAATGCCTCGACCCTTTAATACAGTTCCTCATGTTGTGGTGACCCCCAATTTCATTGTTACAAATTGAACATAATTAAAGCATAGTGATTAATCACAAAAACAATATGTAATTATATATGTGTTTTCTGATGGTCTTAGGCGATCCCCTGTGAAAGGGTCATTCGACCCCCAAAGGGGTCGTGACCCACAGGTTGAGAACCGCTGATGTAGGGGAAAGGCCCTTGGCATACGGTACCTAGAAATTCCCTCAGACCCATTTGCCCCTCCACAGGTGGGTGCGCCATCTCATTACCTGCATTTCCAAGTACCAGTCTCCAGGCCAGGCCGCCCTACCCCGAGAGGAAGGTGGGTGCTCACAAGGGTGGGTCTCACTGTGTCTAACCTGAGCTTCGGCCTTTCCTGGGATGGAGGCTAGGAACTCAAATGCCCTCACCCCCTTCCTGGCCCCCCCAAACCGTGTGAAACTTAGTGGGTTCCCCAATTGCTCCTGTCCACCCCAGACTGCTACAGTGAGACAGAAGTAGAAGACCTTGACGATGAGGCTGGGTCCCGCTCAGCCTCGGTGAGTCGGGGACTGGTGGGGGGTGAGGAGCAGGGCACAGAGCTCAGACTGATACCTTTCTCTCCTTCCATGGTGCCCACAGCCCAGCCTGGGCCAAGCTGGGAGTCCCCCCCATGGAGACACATCACCTGCAGCCACCCCTACGCAGGGCAGCCCACGGACCTCCTTTGGCCTTCCAACAGGTGCTGTGCTGGGGGTGGGAGCTGAGGTGGAGAGCTGGGCCTGGGACAGGCACATCCTCATCCTGCCTCCCTGCCTCCCCACCCCGCCCCCCACAGACAGCAGTGAGGGGACGTTGGAAGGAATGGTGCGGGGCCTGAGGCAGGGTGGCGTGTCCCTCCTGGGCCGGCCACAGCCCCTCACCCATGAGCAATGGCGGAGCTCTTTCCTGCGGCGCAACCGAGACCCCCAGCTCAACGAGCGAGTGCACCGTGTGCGGGCACTGCAGAGCACACTCAAGGTCAGCAGGGGACACGGCATGGCAGGGGCTGGGCTCTACGCTTTTGGCTCTGGTTGCTGTCCCACAGCTCTGGGCTCAGTGGTGGAGTTGGCCAAGTTCTAGGTTCCTGATTTGAGAACCAGGTCTAGACTGGGCCCGTGCTGTGTTCTAGGCACTAGACTCCAAAATTAGCTCTGGACTCAGGCTCTGCCGCCTTCCCTGGGCGATCATGGCCCCTAAGGGACTCTCCTTACAGGCAAAGCTGCAGGAGCTGCAGGCCCTGGAAGAAGTGCTGGGCGACCCTGAGCTGACTGGAGAGAAGTTCCGGCGGTGGAAAGACCAGAACCAAGAGCTCTACTCAGAGGGCCTGGGGGCCTGGGGCGTGGTGCAGGCTGAGAGCAGCTCCCAAGTCCTGACCTCTGGCTCCAGAGGACATTCTGCCCAAGCCCTGTCCTCCTACCCTGAGGAGCTCTCTCATCTTTGCCACCTGACACCAGAGAGCAACCTCTGACTCTGACCAGCATCTAGTTCCTGACCTCTGGCCCCGAGGACCACCTCCACCTCTGGCCTCAGGCTTTACCCTAGCCGACCCCCTTCTGCCTGAGTGGCCACCATTTCTGCTCCCTTCTCCCCTGGAGTGGGGTAACGTAATGTGATCTCTGTGCCACCCTCTCCCATCTTGGCAACAAAAGAGTGGGAGGCAAGGCTGAAAGAAACTCTCTCCTGTCCGTCCTCTGACCTGTGGGGGTGCACACCTGCCTCCCTCAGTCCTTTGGCACTTCTCCCTCCCCAAACCGGTCTGTACAGACCTTCCTGACTTTACACAAGAGACACTTCAACCAAATAAAGTCAATTTCTCTAAAATGAATCCACATCTGTGCTTGACTTCCATATTAGAGTCAGGAATTGGCTCCCCAGTGGGACTGGGAGGAAAACTGACAGGGATGAGCGCTCTTGGTAACTGGCCCGGGCTGTGCGTGAAGCTCCTGTCCACCAGGATGAGGACTGCTAATCCGTGGCTCCCGATGGCTTCTACTCGTGCTCATCTGTCCCAGCCCTTCAGAGACCAGAGGTTTGCTTTCCTGTCCCATCTCAGGGGAGACAAAGTGAGAGGCTGAGATCAGCCTTTTACTAGATGGGGCACATACCTTGCATGAAAGGCAGGATGGGCTCCTGGAGACCAGGGTGGTGAGATGGCATAGCCAGAGGGGGGAGGTGCCGGGTGTAGTCAGCTAGGAGGAAGCTCCTGAGGTGAACATTTTTCTCCTCTCCTTAGCCCAGTGTCACCTCCAGCTCCTGGATTTAGAGTAGGGACATACTCCTCTCCATCCAGGTGGTAGAGGAGACCTGACCTGCTCTGTGCCTCTGACCTCTGACCCCAGCCAAGGTCCTTAGTGTCCCTGGCTTTCTCGGTGGGGTTGCAAGAGAATTCAGTGGGAGGAACTTCTCTCGGGACTGGAATTCCTTGGTGGAATGCAAATGACTGGAGTCACAGAGACCTCTATGATATCACCACGAGGGGGAGCAAGCCCGCACGGAATAAAGTTGCTTTGAAGAGTGGGAGGAGGCTGCGCAACTATGCAGGATAAAGAATGGCAGCGAAGGACTATCAAGTCTATGGTAGATGACCCCTGCCTGGCTCTACCATTTAATCTGGGCATCCCAGGATCGGGTGGGGCACAGGAGGACTGTGCTGGGTCCAGAGGGATAGGGGCTGCGCTGATGGGCCTTCTCCTCACCCTTGCAGAAGTCCCCTCATGATCCCTACTTCTCGCCAGAGGAGCAAGTGCTTATCGACCGCGGAGACATTATTGACACAAAGGTAAAAACAAGGTGATCCAACCTCCCCCACAGGGACCCTTCTGCAGCTGCGCCCATGCGGCAACAAGCCTCATAATCACTCTGTCCCTTTTGCCTTCTAAATGTCCTTTCAGAGGACACTCCCCAGAAGTAATCCCTGCAGTCACACCCCCGTGATATGTTAGAATTGCCTGTCAGTGCCCCCTATAGGAACCCCTCTATAATGATAGTCTCCTCCCAACAGAGATCCTAAAAGAGTCTCCCTTGTAATGACTCCCGACAAAGATCCCCCGCAGTGGGCCATTTAGGTAGTGACCTCTACACTGATACCCCATACCATGATTCCCTCTTAGGCCCCTTTCCCCAGAGTGGCCTTCCTCAGAGAACCCCATCCACTGAGGGCAAACATCCAGGCAGAGGCCTCCTACGGTGATACCTGCCTGAAGGAAGGTCCTTCGCTCTCTCCCAGGATGCCTGGGATATGCAGGAGTTCATCACTCGAATGTATGTCAAGCAGCTGCTCCAACACTGGACGTTTCAGCTGCTGCTGGCCATGCTGCTGGTGGTCAATGCCGTCACCGTTGCGCTCCGCACCAATTTCGCCCTTGGCCAGGTGGGACTCTAGCCTGACTTCTGCACCCACTGACCTAATGGGGGCCTGGGTAAGGCACTTCCCTCTCTGGGCCTCTGGATCCTCCTCTGTCCATGATGATTGGATTGGCTGCTCTTCAAGGGCCTGCCAGCACTGACCTTCCAGTGGTCTAGAGATAAAAGAGGACATTGGGGGGGGAGGGGCGGCGGCCAGCTTTGAGGAACACATTGCATTTGTACAGGAAGGGCAGGGGGGAAATGGTGTGAGCAGAGGCAGGCAAACAGATGCCATGTAGGGAAGGGTATCCCTTATTTATTTATAAGATTTTTAAAAATGGATTTTTAGATAGAGAGGAAGGGAGTGGGAGAGAAGAGGAGAAACATCGATGTGAGAGTGCAGTATTGATCGGCTGCCTCCTGTACTGGGGATCAAGCCCACAACCTGGGCATGTACCCTTGACTGGGAATGGAACTAGCAATCTCCTGGTGCATGGGAGGATGCCCAACCAACTGAGCCACAATGGCTAGGGCAAAGGTATCCCATTTTACTCACTAGTCACTGAGAGAGAATCGTTGTGTACCATGCACTGTACTCAGGGCTAGGGTTCCAGGTATGAACACAACAGATGCAGTTCTGTCTTAGACACAAACATGTCATCATAAATGCCTGAGTGTCAGAGCACATGGAGAAGGCATCAAACCTGGTGGATTAAGGAAGGGTTCCTGGAGAAAAGGACACTTAAGCAGAGAATAAAGAATGAGTAGAAGTTGGTCAGGCAAAGAGAGGTGAGGAAGAGTGTGTGGGGGCAGGAGAAATAGCATGTGTGTTCTATGTGTCCAACTTGAAGTCCAGTGTGACACTGGTCTCGTGCTTTTTTCTTACAAGGAATATACAACATACATGGATTGTGCTATTTAAAAATCAACATTTTTTAAATGTTCAATGTGGTGGCTGATGAGTTCAGAATGGTGATCAGGGGCAGGGCCTTTAAGTTATGTCAAGGAGGGTGGTCTTTATCCTAAGTCATTGGAAAGCCAGGGAAGAGTTTAAAGCATGGAAGTGACATGACCAGGCATGTTATAAAACTGGCCCTGTCTGCCACAGTGAGGGCTACGGAAGGGAGAGTATCAAGAATGGAAAACAGTGAAGCAGGCAAGATCGTGTTGGAGATGTTCAGGTGAAAGCAGATGGGGCTTGGACCAGGCTAATGGCAGTAGGTAAAAAGAGGTCACATGCATCTGAAGTTCCCTAGGAGTTGGATCCATGGGCCTTATAGATTGACTTACTTTAGAGCAAACACTTAGTGAGCACTGACATGTGCTGCCTCGTTTAACATCTGTCACCACCTCACGTACACACAGGGAGAGCAAGAAGTTAAGTTTCTGGTGCTTTTTGTTGGGACATGGGGACATAGGATGAGCAGGTTTGGGGAGGATGCTGAGTTCAGTTTGAGTTGGGTAGGGTCTGTGGTGCCCATGCAGTATCCACACAGAGATGGTGAGGGGTTAGAGGTCAGTTCTGAAATGCCTCAGAGAACACTGGGATGGAGGTGGTGACGAGAGAGTTGCCAGCATCTGGGTGGATAGTTGCCGAAACTAAAGGAATTGATGAGGTTGCCTGGGGAGAGAGAATTGAGTGAGAACAGGCCAACACAGAGCTCTAGAGGAGAACCTGTAAGTAAAGGGCAGAAAGTGGAAGAGGAGGTACAAGGGAAACTGAGGAGAAGGCGTGCCAGAGGAGTGGGAGGAACCCAGGACAGTGTACGCTCAGGGGAGTGGGCACAGTGGCAGATGTGTCTAAGAGACAAGGCAGTAAGGACTAAGTACCCCTTGGATTTAGCTTTTATGACCTGGATATGGTATTAGCAGAAATCCTATTGCTAGATTTGGAAGATGAGTAGATGGGGAGGCAGATCACACACATTGATGGATCATGAAATCAATTCAGAGTGCAGATACTAACATTGTGATGTAGAATGAAATAGTAGGATGAAAAAGAATTAAATAGAAATTATGTGTGTGAGAGAGAGAGAGGTTGTAAGATGTAAAATAGATTTCTTATTATGGGTCCTAGTCAAAAATGGTAAAAAGCACTGGTATAGGATATGTGTCATGGAGGTCGAATCCTAGAAGCCTGTGAACGCCAGACTAATTTGAACCTTACCCTGAAGGTCATAGGGAACCATGGAAGTCTAGTAGTGGAGAAGGCAACTCTGATGTACACATAGATGCCCATGACTTGGAGAAGGCAGGAGGACTATTTAGGAAATTCTTTCTATAAATAGGGGAGCCTATTGCCTTCAGTGGCCAGTGGGGTGGAACTGAGGTGATAGATGAGGGGACAGAAAGCTCTTCCTTGTTATGGGCAGACATCCCTGGCCCCTGATGCTTTTTGGGAATTTGGAACCCATAAAACTTAACCTCTCATCTGGGTTTAAGAAGCTCTGCCCAGCTGGTGGATGGGGGTGATGGCAAGGTGTGGTAGCAAGAGGCTTTCATGTGTGGCAGCGAGCCTTGGGGCAGAGTCTATTGGCCATGGAAGTGAAGAAAGGGAGGAGTCCAGGTGACTTTGGTAACTGCCAGGGTAGAGCCAGGGGTCTGGGAGCTATTAACAGTGTCACAGACTATAGTGGTGTCACAGCTTAGCGGGAACTAAGGGAGTAGTATCTCGTTTGGGTGAAAGTGAGTTGGGATTTAAACAGAATTCAGTCATCAAGTCATCTGGCCACAATCCATTCACCCAGAGAACACGTCCTGGAGTAGATACTCAGCAGCTTGGTCAGGTTGGCCTACGGGATTTGGGAGCTGGGGCAGCAAGAGTGGTTGGGACAATCAGGGAAGAAAGGATGGAACTTGGTGTCTTCTCTCTCAGGGGCTAGGGCTTTTCCTCCCAATTCTGGAGCCAGTTCTGCCTCTCCCAGTCTCCCTTTTCCAAGTATCCTTACTCTAGGGGATCAAAGGTTTGTAGTCAGATAACAATTTATTTATTTTTTAAATTGATTTTTAGAGAGAGAGGAAGGGAGAGGGAGAAAGAGAGAAACATTGATGTGAGAGCAAACTATTGATCGGCTGCCTCCTTCATGCCCCATAACAGGGATTGAGCCCGCAACCTGAGTTGTGCTCCGCCTGGGCATTGAACTGGCAGCCTTTTGGTGCGCCGGACAACATCCAACCAAGTCACACCTGCCAGGGCTGGACAACAATCTTTACTGCTGTCTGACCTTGGGCACCACTCATCTCTCATCTGTAGGATGAGAATACAGCCTACTTTTTAGGATGATGGTGACAGTAAAGCAAAATAATGCATAGTGGTCTTAGCAAGGCGCCTGGCATGTACATGCAAAATGTGCTCTAAAGGAGCTACATCCCTAGCTGGTTTAGCTCAGTGGATAAAATGTCGGCCTGTGGACTGAAGGGTCCTGGGGTTCAATTCCGGTCAAGGGCATAAGCCTGAGTTGCGGGCACCATCCCCAATAGGGAGATGCAGGCAACCAATCAATGATGCTCTCTCATCATTGATGTTTCTATCTCTCTCTCCCTCTCCCTTCCTCTCTGAAATAAACAAAAATATATTTAAAAGTATATAAAATAAAATAAAAGAGCTACAAAGATGCTGAGGATGAAGAGCAACAGGAATATGGGCCTTCCCTCCCCCCACGATGTCCTCTCTCCCTAGCCCCGCCCAGTCCCCCACTCCACTGACCGCTCTGTCCCTCTCTTTTTCTCTGTCCTCCATGTAGAAGCACTATGAGTTCTTCTCTACCATAGATGACATTGTGCTGACCATCCTTATCTGCGAGGTTCTCCTTGGCTGGTTAAATGGCTTCTGGGTTTTCTGGAAGGTGAGATCCTGGGCCCTCCCTGCCATCGCCCTTACCCCTCCTTAGGAAGTGTACCCCGTCCAGACCCCATTTCTGTGCTCCTGGCCCTGAAGATTGAGAGGTGTGTGTGTGTGTGTGTGTGTGTGTGTGTGTGTGTAAGAGAGAGAGAGAGAGAGAGAGAGAGAGAGAGAGAGAGAGAGAGAACTTTCTGAGATGTCTGATATAGGAACTTATACTAGAAGTGCAGCTTCCCTGGGTCCCAGTCTCTGCTCCAGCCTTCCCCTATTCTGTGATCCTGGGAAAACCTTGATGTCCTTATATAGGAAATGAGATTGAGAGCATTTACCTTAATTTACAGGGTTCAAGAGTAGGAGTCAACAAACTTTTTCTATCAAGAGCCAGATAAAGATTTTAAGCTTTGTGGGCCCTCGTCTCTGTTGCAAACATTCATCTCAGCAGTGGGAGCACAGAGAAGCTGTAGGCAGCACATAGGTGAATAAACATGGCTGTGCTCCAAATAATCTCACACAAGGACACTGAGAGTTGAACTTCATATAATTTGCATGTGTCACCACATGCTATTCTTTAGATTCCCCCCCCCCCCAATTAAAAACAACAACAACCACCATTCTTAGCCTGAGCGTTCTACAAAGAGCTGCTGGCCAGATTGGCCCCTGGCCTAGAGTTGGCTGAGCCCTGTCCTGGAGAATGTTGAGGAGCTGTCTCTGTAGGAATAGGTCTCAAAGTTACGTTACATCAAACTCTTTGTTTGAATAGGACTTCAGGAGCCAAGGGATTTATTTGCCTTTGGGTATTTTCGAGAAGAGGCTTACAAAAACAAACAAACAAACAAACAACAAAAACTACCCAAAAAAGAACCCTCTCATAAAAAGGAAGTATTTAAATATAGTTACTAGAACAACCAGTTCGAATTATAAGCTTTCCATGGGTTAGAGGTTTCACTTCATAGAATACAGAATGTAGAATCTAGAACAAAAATTGTGAAGTCAATGTCTTAAAGACTGCTTTGGGCAAACAACACTTGTAAGGATGCTTATTAACAGAAAAAGGAGCCTGGCCGGCGTGGCTCAGTGGTTGAGCATCTACCTATGAACCAGGAGGTCATGGTTCAATTCCCGGTCAGGGCATATGCCCGGGTTGTGGGCTCCATCCCCCCATTGTGGGGCATGCAGGAGGCAGCTGATCAATGATTCTCTATCATCATTGATGTTTCTATATCTCTCTCCTTCTCCTTTCCTCTCTGAAATCAATTTTTTAAAAAAGAATAGGATGGTTCGTATTGACGTATCTCAGATACCTTGGTTTTGTGAACATTTCCCTGCACTGCTTTTTCAGAACTAGCTCTAGGATGCAGGCAGACATCTACTTACTAGGAGGGAACATTCCTCCTTCATTTTCCTGAGATTTCTTTCAGCAACACTTAGGGATTTGTCCCAGAGTTTCTTAGCACAGGAGACTTGAAGCAAGCATGAGGATCTTGTGTTCCTCCAAGCCATTCCATCAGCCAGGGTTTCTCAACCTCAGCACTACAATAATGACGTTTAGGCCTGGATACTTTTTTGTTGTGGGGACTGTCCCATGCATTGTCAGATGTTTAGCAGCATTCCTGGCATCTACCCACTAGATACCATTAGCACCATCCTTGTTGTGATAACCAAGAATGTTCCCAGACATTGCCAAATGTCATCTGGAGGGCAAAATCACCCCTGGCTGAGATAATGTTCCAAAACCTAACCTTTCCTCTGGGGCCAAGCTACCAGTGCCAAAAGCCAGGGCTGGTTAGAAGCTGTTTTTGCCTCCTTCCCCACTCCCACCCTTCCCCCTGGATCCTAATACACAAAATCTGATCCCTTTTGCAAGGGTGTGGTGGAGGGGTTGTTGAGAGGAAAGAATGGGATAAATACAGGGAAAGCAGGAAGTCTGGAAATTAACATCTCAAATATTACCTAGTCACATAGGGATCCCCAATTTTGTCCCCAGCTCTCCCCCATTTTTTATCATCTGTGTGTGACTCCTTCCTTCTCCTCACCTCCACAGCCTATTAATCACTATTTCACCACCTAAATCTTTCTCAAATTTCTGCTATCCCTGTCTATGATATGGCCATTCCACCCTGAACCCCCCGATCTCGTCAAATTTCTCCTATCCCTGTTTTAGCTCTTGCTTTGTCTTCCCTCACCAGGATGTTGCTATGGCTTCCTGTGTCCCCACCTGCCATTAAAGCGATCTTCCTAAGGCACAAGCCAAAGTATCCTTGCTTATTTTTGCAGCCTCATCACTCCTGGCCTCACCCTGGTGTTCCAGCTGCACCAAACTGCTTGTAATTGCATTACACACACACACACACACTCACACACACACACACACACACACACACACACTGCTTCTCACCTCCTTGGCTGGTTAAATGGCTTCTGGGTTTTCAGGGTTCAGGGTCTGGCATATAGTGTGAGTTTAATACCGAATGGGTAGAGGGATGAATCTTTAGACAGGCAGACTTGTATCTCTTTGTGGATGTGTAGGCACAGACATTCTGAACTTGGGACACTGGGCGAGCTTGTGTTTATTAGACTACCCAAGAAATTGAAGAACATTTTTTTCATTAAAAAATATTTACTACAGCCAAAACCGGTTTGGCTCAGTGGATAGAGCGTCGGCCTGCGGACTGAAAGGTCCCAGGTTCGATTCCGGTCAAGGGGATGTACCTGGGTTGTGGGCACATCCCCAGTAGGAGATGTGCAGGAGGCAGCTGGTCGATATTTCTCTCTCATCGATGTTTCTAACTCTCTATCTCTCTCCCTTCCTCTCTGTAAAAAATCAATAAAATATAATTAAAAAAAATATTTACTACAGATACATATTGGTCAAAACTATATTGAAAAGTACACACAGAATTCTTGATTTCATTCCTTTCCTTTCATCCCTTCCTCTCCACCCCCACCCTCTCTAGGTAGTCTTTGTATATTTATATTCTCTTGCTTATCCTACCTCTGTTTATTTTGCAATCATAAGCAAACAAGTATATAGTTTTAGTCCTCCCTTTCCTAACAGTAACATACTATTGTCACTGTTTTGCACTTTGATTTTTTAAATATTTTAAAATATATTTTTATTGATTTCAGAGAGGAAGGGAGAGGGAGAGAGAGATAGAAACATCAATGATGAGAGAGAATCATTGTTTGGCTGCCTCCTGCATGCCCCCTAACGGGGATTGAGTCCGCAACCCAGGCATGTGCCCTTGACTGGAATTGAGCCAGGGACCCCCAGCTAGGGCTGCACTTTGCATTTGTCACTTAATGGATCTTGGCAAACTTTCTATGTCAATACATGAAGATCTTTTACTTTTCTTTTTTTTATGGCTCAACGGTACTACTCCAGTGAATGAATATGTAATAGTTTGTTCAACCGGGGCCCACTTGCTGGACACTTTGGTCGTTTTCAACCTTATACAAATGTCATTTTGTACTTGAACTAGAGTTTCTGTGGGTCAGGTGTCTAGAAGTGGGATCACTGGTCAAAAGGTCAGTGCACATATTGTTTGTGAAATAGAGCAAAGTCCCCTCTTTAGTCATTGTGCTTGAATTTTCATCTCTGGGAGCGCCCTTCCCCCATCCCCACTCCTAGATGAGTCTGTGCCTTATTGGACAAAGGGCTTGTAAAAATGTCCTGTCTCTCTTATACAGTGAGAGCTAGTTCACCTCTGAACTGACTACTGAAGCAGTGGTCTCTAATGTTTTCATTAGTATTTATTTTCCTTTTATTATTGATTGGAGTGTGTGTCACACAAAGGCTGGAGCATCCCAACACTCTCTTGTCACTTGACTGTAGGACAAGGCCATTTTCAGCAGTGCACCAACCACAGGGGTGGTCAGCTGAGGAACTAGCTTGTATGTATGTGTGATCATACACTGTGTGTCTCTGAAACTGCACTTGGCTGTTGACACATGTATGAGACAGCAAGTGCATGCCTATTGGGTGACATGTTTTGTGGGCAACAGAATGAGTAACAACAGTGAATGGCAGATGATTGGCCCTGCTATGAGAAGATCCCCTCATCCTTGGGGGCTGGGGAAGGCAGACCTGGGATGTCTCCATGGGCTGGGCCTGACAGACCCCACTGGGGCTGGCCCACCCCACCCCCCAGGACGGCTGGAACATCCTCAACTTCCTTATCATCTTTATCTTGCTCCTGGGGTTCTTCATTAGTGAACTCAATGTCATCTCTATCACCTACACCCTCAGGTGAGCTGGGAACACTGGAGAAAAGAGGGGGACCTGCCTGGACCCTGGGGAAGAGATGGGGGGCTATTACCAACTGGGGTAGTTCTGCCTGTCTGGGCAGGTAGGGTGGCAGTGGGGAGGAGGGGTCTGGGAAAGGCTGAGGGGCATCCCTGAGAGGCTCTGCTACAGGGTCCTTCGTCTCGTGCATGTGTGCATGGCTGTGGAGCCCCTGGCCCGGATCATTCGCGTCATCCTGCAGTCGGTGCCTGACATGGCCAATATCATGGCCCTCATCCTCTTCTTCATGCTGGTCAGTCCCTCCCCCACCCCAGCCACTCCCCTTCCCTGAACAGGTCATGGGTCACTGGGGATACAGGGGTGTCTGGAGAAGAGGAGAGGCTTATGGGCCCAAATCCCTGTGATTCCCTTGGCAGCGTTCATTTGTATGTGCTGTCTCCAAGGCTCTTGTGTGAAGTCAGACGGGTCTCCGATCTCTCCGGCAGGTGTTCTCCGTGTTTGGGGTCACTCTCTTTGGTGCATTCGTGCCCAGGCATTTCCAGAACATGCAGGTGGCCCTGTACACCCTCTTCATCTGCATCACCCAAGATGGCTGGGTGGACATCTACAATGACTTTCAGTGAGTCCCTGTGAGGCTGATCCCCAGCCCATCCAGGCAAGGCAGGGGCTGGGCTCTCGTGAAACAAAATACTGACTGGAGAGGGAAAAGGGCTCCAGGTGGGTGTGGAGCTCCAGGGCTGGGGATGAGGATGGCCCAGCAGGAAACGGGTGTCAGGGCTTTAAAGGAGGAAAAGAGATCGCTGGGTCTGGGGCCTCTGGGTTTGTGGCCTACTTGAAGCCTTGTCCCCTTGAAACTCCAACCAAAGTCCCACCACAGGCCTATTCATGGATATTTCTCCCATCAGGCTAAACGGCCGGTTGGTAGGCCTTGGGCACCGGAGCTGCCTGTGGTTGCACTAGAGCTTTAGGGCCCACACTGGAGCCTACCAAACTGTCTGGACTCCTGGGAGCCTAGGGTCTCATTTCATTGATTCTTAGACTCACTGCCCAAGATCACATTTGGCCACAGATGATTGCCTGGGTTCTGTCCTTTCCCGCTTTCCCATTAAGACTAAACCATATTTGTTTCCAGTCCACTCCAGGGATTTGGGCCCACTGATGATATCTTTTTATTCCCTTCATGTGAGAGTAGAAGCTCAATTGGTAAAGAGATTCTACTATCATTATCCATTATGATTTAGGTGGTAGAGAAACCACAAAGTGTGCAATAAAGGTGGACTGGGCTTTTGAGTCTTTACTCTACCACACTAGCCATATGACCTTGGGCAAATTACTTTCCTGAGCCTCAGTTTCCTCATCTGTCAATTGAGGATTACAATACAATATTAGCTATGTCATGGATTGCTGTGAGGATCAATATAAATCTCTTAGCATAGAACCTGGCATAGATCCCTGTCCCTGGTCCTGAAACATAAATGACCTTTTAGCCAAGGTTGTTCTCCCCTTTGTCCCGTGGAGTTGGAAACACAGATCTGTAATGGGAAGAGGGGAAAAAAAGTGAGATAGAGAGGTATAAATATGGATGGATGGGGGAGGGAGGGAGGGAGAGAGAGAGAGAGAGAGAGAGAGAGAGAGAGAGGGAGGGGAGAGAGAGAGAGAGAGAACACACACTATTATTTGGGGAATATTTTATAGGATATTTATAATAGGTATTAACAGTGGGTGGGATTTTTCCTGTATATTTTCCTTCTGCTCTTTCTATAACGAGCTTGAATTGTCTTTTATAATAAGAAAGAGTATAGCCAATAGATTAAACTTAATAATGCTGATGTACAAATCCCCACCTTGCCGGGTGGGTTGAGGACCCTGCTGTCTGGCAGTACAATTAGAAGCAGGCATTGGATCTCACAGTAGCAGTGAGGCAGCAGAAGCCCTAGTAGCCTTGAGGTAATCTCCCCATTTCATAGATGAGGAAATGAGCTCAAAGGGCCAGGGCGGTGACAGGGCCCCTACCTGCCATCTCCAGGACGAAGACCAGGGACTACGCAATGGAGGTTGCGGGGGCCTTCTACTTTATCACCTTCATCACTATTGGTGCCCTTATTGGCATCAACCTGTTGGTCGTCGTGGTAACCACCAACCTGGAGCAAATGATAAAGGCAGGAGAACAGAGACAACAGGATAAAATAGGCTTCAGTGAGGTGAGTGAGATGGGGAGGGCAGAGGGAGGAGAGGGAGTGTATGTATGAGTGCTGACTTGAGCATAGGGGTATGTGTGTGTGTGCTCACACACTCGAGTGCCTGGAGCAAGCCAAGCCTGAGACCGAGAGGCATCATTTCCCACCTTGAGTGCCAGTTCACCAACTGGGGCTTCCGAGGGCTATGGATTTCCTAGATGTTTTATTTCTATGGCAACTCAAACTGAGTAGCCTGGATGACCTTAGGGCATTTAACCAATCTAAGCCTCGATTTCTTCTTCTGTAAAATGGGAATAATGATAGTACTTACCGCAAAGTACTATTCCGAGAATGGCATGGGTAAATGAACAGTACTTGACACATACTAAGAACTCACTACATGTTAGCTACAGAATTATTTTTTCAGGGTTAGAACCTCCAAAGGGCTGGGGAGGTGAATGGTGTAGCACTTCCCACAGTGTTGAAGTCACTAAGCTGTGAATTGGGAGCAGATGGGCTTTAGAAGTTTGCTGGGTAGGATTTAGCAGGAGTGAGAAGGCTAAGCTTGCTTGAAGCTGAAATGAGGGACATTAGAATCCTGGTGTCCTAAGAGACTCATCCTCTCTGAAGCCAAGCAGGCAGGGGCTGGGGCAGGGGTGCCGGCTGGGCTGTCTCTCCCCTCTCCATCTCCCCTTTCCCAGACAGATGTGGAGGAGTTCGGGAACAAGGACCTGCCCCTGGTGCACTGCGAGGTGGCCCGTTTGGAGATGTCTGGCCTTCCCCAAGAGCCGCTGGTGGGAGGCCCTCTGTCCAACCTCTCCGAAAGCGCTTGCGACAACTTTTGTTTGGTGCTCGAGGCGATACAGGAGAACTTGATGCAGTACCAAGAGATCCGAGAGGAGCTCAACACGTAGGGCGGCTACTGGGGGTACCCCGAGCCCCGTGAGTTAGGACTGAGCAGGGCCTCAGATTCTTCTGGCCTTATGTCCTCGCCATGTTACACTGTGGTCCTTGAGGCCCAGAGAGGTTAAGTGGCCTGCCCATGGTTCTCCAGCCTATGGAGGAGCTGGAATCCAGACTTCCCGGCTTGGCCTGGATCTCTATCAGCGTGAAGAGGGAGGGTGACGGGGGGCGGACACCAGGGAACAGGTGGGAGGACTGCCCCTTTTTCCCCTACCCTGAACGCGCTCACCCCTCCGCCCCCAGGATAGTGGAGGAGGTGCGCTCCATACGCTTCAACCAGGAGCAGGAGGAGGAGCTATTGCACAGACACTTGTCAGTCCAGTCGATGGAGAGCAAGTCCTCCATGGACCTGTATGAGATGACTAGCCAGCAAGACTTGATCACTGCGCTCGTCCACAGGGAAAAGGTGCCGTTTCCCTCTCCTATCTGATCTGTGCTCACCCCGCCACTCTACCCAGCCCAGCCCAGCCCAGCCTAGTCTCTGAGGAATTAGTCCAAGTTTGTCTATTCCTAGGCCCGCGCCCTAGACACTTAGCCCCAGTAGTCACAGCCAATTGGCCAATCTGGTTAGGTTCCACGTTTCCTTCTTTAAGAAGCCCGGGAATCCATCAGATTCCTCTCATTGAGCCCCTTCTGATTCTAGTGCCCTCAACTCTACCCTTTCTTAGAGAGGCTTGAGCCAGCTCCGTTCCTGCTTAGTGGCAGATACTTATGCCCACTGATGGCAAAGGACCCCTGGGTCCTGTCAAGCAGTAAGCCTCTTGGGGAGAAAAAGGCACACACCCACGTTAGTTTCTGCTTCTCACACCATCTGACTGTGACTGTAAATCCCACATCTGGGGCTCCCAAGCCCAGAGAGGACACTAGGCAGGCGAGACATAGGAAGGACTTCCTTGGGAGGCCTCGATGGGGCACCCCTGAAGCTGGAGGAGGGGAGTAAGGAGCATCTGCCATGGCAGGGTAGAGTACTGACAAGACCTCTGGGTTTGCAGGTTCAGGAATCTACCACAAACTTACCTAAAAGGAAGAAGAGCAGCCGCTGAGAGGGCAGGAGGGGAGCCAAGGGGCCTGTGCACACACGCCCAGCTGCTGTATCTTCCTGCATCCCAAGCGTGACTTGGCTAAGCCTGGCCTGAGCCCCTCCTCTCCCTTACACCTGGGGTGATGCCTGGAGCTATGGAAGTGGTGGCCTCTCTAGGGCCTGTGCCTGAGTTCCAGGTCCAGAGGAGCCAGGAAGGAGAAGGACGCTGGATGAGAGTGGGAGTCCTACAGCAAGAAGGTGCTGGCCAAGGCAGCCAGGATTTGGCCTAAGTAGGGGCACCCCTGGCCCCCTGCTCTAGGACAGAACTAGATGGGGCCTCTGTGGGCCCAAGAACTACGAGGAAAAAGCTGAGGCCAGTAAGGCTAGGCATCTGTGTATTGACAATAAAGTTTTATGTTGGGATCAGTGTGTCTGATTTGTGGATCTCCAACACCTTGGGGCAACCTTGCCCCAGGTCTGATGGGCAAGACTGATCTTGCCCCTCAATAGCCTGTTTGTCTGATTGGAAAGTCACTGACTGCCCTCCAGAGCTTCCAGTCCAATGGGAGAGAGAATCTGCACCCTACATAACTGTGACTAAATGGTAAAGATGTGATCATGTGCTTAGAGACCCAAAATTTGGTGGTTGGGAGCCCCTGCCTGACGCAGGAGACAGTCCTACCCCTGTGTCTGAAGGCAGAAGAGACTGGTCCTCATTCTGGGGAATTCTAGTCTAATGGGGTCACCATTGACCAAGTCATGCAGGTACAGGAAGCTCCATCTTGAGGCAACGGAGAATGACAAACCAGACACCATTTACTGCCATAGCCGGTTCCAGACTTAGGCAATGCAGAGAGTCTGAGAAAGCTGTGGCGGTCACGGGCAGCAGGAAGAGATGTGTTGGAGGACAGGATTCTGGTCCTTAGGCAAGTCACTGGGCCTTGTTTTCTGCTTTCCCCATCTGTGAAGCGGGGAGAGGATGAGATTGGTTTCCAGCCCCAAGATCAAATGGCCCGCTCTAAGCCCAGGAGTGGGGAGGCCGATGAAATCGGCCACATCACTGAGACTCAGGTTCCTCCGTGTTGGGTAGAGGGGAAGGCTGAAAGGCCCAGAGTTCTGCCCAGCTATTTAGCAAAGACTGACAACGAGGGACCTTGGGGATATTCATCAACTTGAATGGGCATCTGCAGAGACCCATTGATTGCAGCTGATGGGGAAACTCTACCCTCCATACCCCTCCCATCAGCATTGGTTTCACTACAGAGAAGCCCTCTGGGATCTTCTGCGGGGGGGTGGGGGGGGGGTCTGGACACCTGGGACAGGGTGGTACACTCAGCAGGCAGGTGAGAGGTGGCCCCAGTGACAGCGGTGCCTCACTATCTTGGAGCTGATGTTTGGGCCAGGACTCTTTCCAGTGCCCTCCAGGATCATCAACCAGCAGAGCTATGGGCAGCCAGTGGCTTTTGCTGCTGCTGCTATTTACTGGAGATCGAGCCCTCAATCTGCCTGGTGAGTAGCCACATTCACCCTTTCCATCTATCCTTCTCTGGGGACTCTCATTTCTCCTTGTCTGGCTGGCCAGAGAGGGGAAGAAGGTGGTGGAAGATCAGGTAAGATCAGGTAGTATCCTCTGGAAGATCCTATAATGCAGTGGTTCTCAACCTTCGAGCCCTTTAAATACAGTTCCTCATATTGTGACCCAACCATAAAATTATCTTCGTTGCTACTTCATAACTGTAATGTTGCTACTGTTATGAATCGTAATGTAAATATCTGATATGCAGGATGGTCTTGGGCGACCCCTGTGAAAGGGTCATTTGACCGCCAAAGGGGTCCCGACCCCCAGGTTGAGAACCGCTGCTATAATGTGAGCACAGCCATCCTCTACCCCACCCTTTAATTGTCTAAAAGGCTTGGGCACCAATGAGTTTGGACACAGGAGCATGATGGGATGACCTCCAAGGGGCTTCTGGCTTTGCTCATCCATCTTCTTAGAGGATGCTAGCTTTGTCTATCTACTTCCTCCATCTGTCATCTCAGCCATCTCCCCCTTTTTGTCTGTCCTTCCCATCTGGGCTGGGCCAATAGCTTGGGATTTCAGCAGGCTAGTTTTCTTCCAAGCTGGCCTAGAACTGAGGGCCGAGGAGCTCGGACACCTGCTGCCCTCTCTTGCCCCACTCCAGCAAAGAGCTCTGCTGAGCCTGAGGTTGGAGGGCAGCCCTGGATCCTGAGCTCCTTGGACAGTATGGGGGAAGATATTGGGAGGTGGCAGCAAATTGCATGTCTCATCACTCCCATGAGTCCATGACATTTTCCAGGAACAGGAGTATCCAGGAAGCAGATAGCAATTTTGGTAAGAGGAGCAGAAGGGGACAATTATTAGCAGGTTCTAGTTATTGAGCACCAAGTATATGCTAAGCACTATACTAGGTTGTTCACATGCATTATCTCATTTAATCCTTATGACCATCAGTGAGGTGGGTACTATTATCATCCCTGTTTTACAGCTGAGGAAACTGAGGCTCAGAAACATGAAGTGATTTGTCCCCATCACAGAGCTAGGATCCTATCACAGGTCTGAATTCAGAGCCCAGGCCATACTCCATGGCTTCTCAAAGGAGCTGCTGTGGGCAGGAAACCTCAGTATCATAAAGATGTCAATTCTCCCAAATCTACAATTGTGGCATCATTCCCATCAAAATCACAACTCGATAAGCAGATTCTAATATATATAAGGAAAATCAAAAGGCCAACATGGCCAAGATAATTCTGAAGAACAAGATGGGAGACTCTACCATAGACTGAGATTTACATTAAAGTAACAGTAACATAACATGGTGTTAGTGCAGGGATAGACAAGTGAACTAGTGGAATGAAAGAAAGGGAATGAAAATCCATCTGGATACATAATGACAGATAGCATGGCAAGTCAGTAGGAAAGGATGGACTCTTCTGTAAGGAGGCAGAGACAACTGGTTGACCACACGGAAGAAAAACAACAACAAAATTAGATCCAATGGAAATATCTCTCCTTGCAAATAAAAAATAGAAACCCGCCAAAACCGGTTTGGCTCAGTGGATAGAGCGTCGGCCTGCGGACTGAAAGGTCCCAGGTTCGATTCCCATCAAGGGCATGTACCTGGGTTGCGGGCACATCCCCAGTAGGAGATGTGCAGGAGGCAGCTGATCGATGTTCCTCTCTCATCGATGTTTCTAACTCTCTATCCCTCTCCCTTCCTCTCTGTAAAAAATCAATAAAATATATTTTTTTAAAAAATAAAAAACGGAAACCCTTATAGCAAACATCTGTTTATTTCAGCCTGGACTTTTGTAGCAAACAGACCCATTGGTCACCAGAGTATAGAGGGCTCCTCCAATGCGAGCACAAGTCCTTCACTGCGCTGAGGGGGACATGGAGGCACTGAGGTGGGTGGGATCTTCCTCAAAATCACACAGTGAGTCAGTAATAGACCCAGGTCTCGAGCCTAGATCCCCCTACTCTTTCCATGCATCCCAGCCAGCTCTTCTGCCCTATTGCAATCCCTTTAACTCTGCACAGAGCTACAAGAAAGTTGGGTGCAGAAGGAGTGGGTGCAAGACCCGGGCAGGGTTGGGGACAAGGGTCAGTGCCTCCTCAGAAGTAGGTTGTGGGAATGAAGAGCCAGTCACCTGGGTTGGGTCACTAGTTTACTGAATTAGACCTTTGACAACAGTCAAGGATGCAATGTAAGGGTATCAGGTGATGGACCTATTTCTGCCCATTGCCCAGGGAAAAGAGGAAGGCTCTGTGCTGAGCTGGGCCCTTCTCTCTCTCTCTCCAGAGTGGCTGGCTCGGGTATGAAGCTGTATTTTTGTGAGATAGTGCAGCATGGTAGAGAAGACACTGGGCTCTGGGGTCTGATGGACCACTTCCTGCTGTGTGACCTTGAATAGATGTCTTCCCCGATCTAAGCCTTTGTTTCTTCATTTGCTTAATAGAAATAATAGTCTTTACTCAGATTAGTTGTGAAGATTCAATGAACCAATGCTCATTGGAGCAGCACCTTAATCGGACAAGGTAAAAATTGAACAATGTTGTCCAGCCAATGTAGCTCGGTGGTTGAGCATCGACTCATCAACCAGGAGGTCAAGGTTCAATTCCTGATCAGGACCCATGCCCAGTAGCGGGCTCAACCCCCCAGTAGGGGGCATACAGGAGGCAGCCGATCAATGATTCTCATCATTGATGTTTCTATCTCTCCCCCTCTCCCTTCTCTCTGAAATCAATAAAAAAATATTTTTAAAAAAGAGAAGGAAGGGGGCAAAAATATTGTCTTTCTTCTAGGACTGATACGAAATAATGTATGCAAAGTTCTCAGCAAGAGACCCAGCATCTACAATCACACAGGGACAAGCACATAAAGGGAAATCAATGTTTGTCCATCCACACTGAGGACCCCAAGCCCAGGCTCCTAGCAATGGGTGACGCTGCCTCTCCCCACAGCTGTCCAGTCAGCAACCGGCTACTCTGGGGCCTGCAGGGCAACAGAGGCTTCTCTGGAGGTGATGCTGGCCTTCAACAGCAATGGGCTCTACCTGCACAGCTGAGTGACCCTGTGTGACTAGCAGCGGGATGCTCGGGCCGGCCAGCTGGGGAACACACAGCTCAGGTTGGGGGAGGGAGGGTTCCTGGCCATCGCTGCAGCCTCCACCTTGCAGCTCTGTGGCCACTGCCTACCCAGGGAGCCAGACGCCCAGCTAAGCCGTCACCCTGGGGGTGGGACTAGGGAGGGAAAGGTAGGACGGCGGTCCAGGATATTGGCCTATCCTGCAATGGGAAATCATATTAACTTTACAGATCTGGAGTAGATTTTAAATAGCTCTGTTGGCAAAAGCATTAACTATTGCCCTTATTTTATTTAATAAGTTAATTAATCCTCACCCAAGGATATTTTTTTCCATTTAGGGAGATGGGAGCGGGGGAAGACATCTCTGTGAGAAACATGATCAGCTGCCTCCAGCATGCATTCCAATGTGGGATCG